TCATAGGCTTTTTTGAGTTTGGGCAAGGACACAGGGACCCCATGATCCCCTATTGCCCGGGGGCCCCATGAGTTGTCAGTCCGCCCCTGGTTTGACTATATGAGTATTTATGCCATTATCTGCATAATTATAGAACTTTTACTGATTGATATACACTGTGTATTTGTGATGCATGTGTAGTGTTTTATCCCCCTCTGAAAAGTAGCCAGGACAGAATGTAATCCACATGACATTCTTTAATGTTGGAAGTGACCCTCTGGAGTGCAAAAGACAGTCTTTTCTTTGACTCCTTTAAAGGTAGCTGCCAGTACCCTTTGGTAAGGTCTACCAGGCTGGTCTCAATCTCTATCAGTTCCTCTACTCAGGGCTTTGGATATGCAATGAACTTCGATACCTCACTGAGCTGTCTGAAATCATTACAAAAACCACAGAGTTGGGTTTTAGGACTAACACAGTCGGACTCAACCATTCATACTGTGATTCCTCAACGATATCAAGTTCAAGCATTTTCGGAATTTCCACCAATACTGCTTTCCTGTGTGAGTAGAGATTTACTCTGGACCTTTACATTAGGCTCAGTGACAATGTCATGCTTAATTACCCTGGCAAGGCCTAGCAGCCCTGTAAAATCTGCTTATTCCTCTGTAAAAACTCTTTTACCTGCAGAGTTCGTGGCTCGGATAGGGTGGTGGAAACTGGCGCTTAAAGTCCACCCTTTCAGGGAGCTTAGAATTAATCTCAGTCAGGACAGCTACCTTCTCTTAGTCCTTCCACAGTTTTAACAGTTTTGCTTGATAGACTTGGTAAGGCTTTCACTTCTCAGGTTGATTTACTTTATAATTTACCTCACTGGCCTTTTCTACCACCTCAAGTGGTCCCTGCCACTTGGCCAGGAATTTACTCTTCACTGTGAGTATAAGCACATTCACTTTGTTCCCAAACTAGAACTGTCTAAGCTTGGTGGAACAGTTGATTCTCTGTGCTTCTTGTATCTTCTGTAAAGGCTCCTTTACCACAGCCATCACCTTAGCAATTCTCTCTCTCATTTGCTTTACCACCGTTTTATGTGGGGAAGATTCACTTTTATTAGGTCAAGCAACCCCCGAGGTCCATATATCAATTCATATAAGGTAATCTCGGTTGATGCTTGTGGTACCTCTCTTACAGCAAACATGAGTGCTGGGAACAAGCAGTACCAATCTTTTCTATCTTTTTGCACTACCCTCTTGAGCATAGATTTAGGGTCTTAGTGACATTTCCAGGTCACCATACTACCAGTTCAACAGAACCCATGTGTGAAGGGGGTTCACTCAGATGTCACATTCAAACCTCTCCTCAGTCAGATCCAGGTGGGCAGCACATGCCCTCTGGACATAGAAGGACATCCTCAGTGTAGCTCCACATTCCATGGATTCCTCCTGCTGGGGACACTGATCCTGGACATGGACCCGAGAGTTACACCACCAGCAGGTTTTCATTCCTTTGTGTGGAAGCATAACCCTGGGACACTCCTGAATGCTGGTTCCTACCATTCCGGATAGCTCTGCTCTCCATGGAGACAGGGGTCCTTTAGACTTGGCAGGTCCAGGCAGATCCTCGACTACAGTATAGCGCTCCACTATCTTCACCAGTCAGTCCATCCTCTGGGGCTCTCCATGGCTGACCCAACACAACAGCTGCAACAGGTCATGCATTTGGAACCACAGTGACCACCGCAATGCAGTCTAAGATCTTCCCCTTAAGTCTTCCATAGTCCTTGGTGTCAGCTGCCAGCAGGTCATAATAGGCCTGCTGCTGCCCCCATGATATAAACGGGGCAATGAGGCTGACCGACTGGTCCTGAGGCCACCCATCTCTCTAGGATGTGCTGTCAAACATGGTCAAGAAGGCCTTCACGTCATTATGAGGAATACATTTCTATAGGAAATGTTTGGGTCTCACCATGACAGGGTTGCAAGGATCAACAGTTCCCATAAGACAATCTGCTAGAATGTCTAACTAGATCTGGACAGACTTCTTCTGAACCTCCAACTGTGCCAACTGAGACTGCTGGGCCTGTATCAACACTGCCAAGGTCTCCTCATAGCAGTGATTGGCTTCCACAATGGTCTGTTGCTGGTGGGTTGAACTTGAAAGGTAGGGGGAGAAGAGAGCGAAAAAAAGGGGGGATGGGGAGTGGAAATGACAGTCTTTTATTTGATTATTTTAGTTAAAGGTAGCGCCATTACCCTTTACCAGGCTGGTCTCAATGTTTATCAGTTCTGAACCTCCAACTGTGCCAACTGAGACTGCTGGGCCTGTATCAACACTGCCAAGGCCTCCTCATGGCAGTGGTTGGCTTCCACAATGGTCTGTTTAACCCCGCTCTGTCATGTTACATGGCCTACCACTTGGTGGCTGAGTTGCTGTTGTTCCCAGTTGCTTCCACTTTGTTATAATCCCACTAACAGTTGAGCGTGGAATATTTAGTAGCCAGGAAATGTCACGGATGGACTTATTGCACAGGTGACAACCTATCACGGGACCACGCTTGGATTCACTGAGCTCCTGAGAGCAACCCATTCTTTCACCAATGTTTGTAGAAGCAGTCTGCATGCCTAGGGGCTTGATTGTATACACCTGTGTCCATGGAGGGGATTGGAACACCTGAATCACATGATTTGGAGGGCGGGCCAATACTTTTGGCAATGTAGTGTATATTAACCTCCCTAGCGGTCTGATTATGTCCATATTTCTGTGCTCAAAGTGGTACATTTTTTTGCATGGAAATATGTATTTTTTTTTATTGTAGGCCTGTAATTTTTAGGAATAACTCACTGAATCTGTCTGAACAAGAGTCTAGTAAACATCCCGGGTATGTTACAATTTGAAACACAAAATCATAAATTATAATTTAATAAATAATCATGAAAAAAATAATAATATAATAATAAATTTAATTCAATAATATAATCAAATCAAAAACACTGAAATGTGAAATAGAGCGCCAAGTTCGCACATCACTGAGCAAAGTCGCAGAATCGTTTTCAGTGTCTGATGAGGAATTTCCCCCACAAATCATTATCACTCAATTCTACAAGTGGTTCTGATTTACTATCACTGTTCTCTAGCCGGTCTAAAACCACTTTTGACCTAAAGGGACGCTTTTTGGACACCATGGACGTTTCTCAGTTTCCAGGCAGAAAGAAGAGTAAAAGTGCAGGCAGGGCGCCGGACAAAGCACTCGGGACAAAATGTATGTGAAATGGTTTGATACATGAATGTTTTACTATGCGATTTTAGTGAATTTAGTGAATGTCACTTTTGTCATTTTTTCAAATTTCCCGCCGTTCCGTTCCCGTAGTGTAGCTCGGGGTTACCACTTGTGGTACTGAAACTTTACCCCGAGCTACACTCGGGAATACCGCCAGGGGGGTTACAATGTATGTGCAATACAATAGTGCAATGCAAATATAACAAGCTCTTAGATGACTGGTGCTCCTGGTGGTGTCATCTTTGATGAAACTAGTAGGGCAGAGATGGACCCGCCACTACCAATATGTGATGCCGCCATGGCCATCTTGGATTCTGGAACATGAGTTGTTTATATGATATGAAGTGCCTGATTGTCATCTTTTCATTGTAAGTGCATTTACCACATTACATTGGTGTTTTTATCGGGATTACACTATGGAGAACCTGTCTTTTTCTTTTTCACGAGTATATATGCACAGCGATCTGATATAGTGTAGCAGCACCATCGTTTGACATTTTGAGAAAAGCTGGATATCTTATGTAGCACCCTGCTAGTCAGCTAGGGGGAGCTAGATCCTAGTGGTTAGACAGGAGATGAATAGCAAAACAGGTGTAATAGTTAGAAGGGTTAAATTTCGGTCAGGAGCTGGAAGGCTCTGCAGACTCAACTCTCTGAGACTTCCCCCTACCTAGAACTTTAGAGAAAGTTCTAGAAGTAGTTGGGGGATGTAAGGAGTCTTGGCAACAGGAGGCTTGGCAAAGAGTCAGAATAGCCCTTAAATATCAGTCAGCCTGTCCAGTAAGGAGTAAAAAGCTGTTGGAAGGAAAGTTCTGGTGGAAGATGTGAGGTTGAAGGAATGAAGCTGCGAGGAGGCCCAGTGGGATGTGTCGGATAGGGGAAGAAGCACTCTGTTGGAAAACCAGATTAGCCACCTTCTAGTGATTGTTTACCTCTGAAAGTGACAGGAACCACATGCCCTGTTCAGGGATACCTCCAGATTGCTGGGTGAAGAGGAGAAGTTCATCTAGGGTCTGGGGTGGTACATTAAGGAGACGCTTTCTAGCTCTCTAACAGAGACTGCGTTGCAGAGAAGGCTTGTAAATTGTTCCAAGTACCTTTGGGCATCCTGTACACCCCTGTCCCTATGTCAGTTCAAATCCTCTAAATAAAACAAAAAAACCAAAGCTCAAGGACTGATTTATGACTCTGGATGCAAGCTTTTGTGAAGATGTGTGATGCCTGGCTGTGCAGGACTATATGGGGACCCAAATCTTGTAGTGACTTCTAAAGGGGTAGTGCTACACTAGGATTGATACACAAGTGCTGGTTGACTGCTCTTAATTAGGGGTCATATGATTCTGGTAACCCTCCCTTTGTTGTACACCAAGGTGCTGTGCGGTTCATCATTAAGGAGTTTGGTGGTGTTTGATATCCACATCTGTCATTTCCCTTACAATTTAAAAACCACTGAATTTACAATTTTATGGATTCCTTTGTTTTATTTTTTAAATTTGTGGTGACACATAAGAGTTTGATATATGTGCATTACACTATTGTATTTGTCATACATTTTAATTGATCTTAGCACCGCACTATTGTTTTGTGACATTTATTATGCTATGTATTATGGTATTGTGCTAGTTGCTATGTTTTTTGACATCCAACGTAGCCATAGCTCCTTTTATTTTTGTTCTCATATCAGTTTATGAGAACATATCCTTTAATTCAGAGTGAATATTTCTACAAAACGATTCGAAGTGCTTTCCTGATATCTTGGTTCCTTAGACTATATATAATGGGATTAAATAAAGGTGTACACACAGTGTGAAGTACAGATGAAATCTTATTGATAACCAAAGAGTGTCCTTTAGAGGGTATCATGTATTTAGCTATCAGTGTCCCGTAAAACAACCCCACTACAAGAAGGTGAGAACTGCAGGTTGAAAATGCTTTCTGTTTGTCTGTTGGGGATAGTATGCTGAATATAGTATGGAAGATGTAGATGTACGTCACCGTGATAAAACCACATGGAAAAATAAATATCGGCAAGGAAAAGACAAGAACTTCAAGCTCAACCAAAAAGGTGTTCGAACAAGAAAGCTTCTGAAGAGGGGAGAGGTCACAGTAGAAATGGTCAATGACATTATCAGCACAAAAGTCAAAATCTGATATAGGCAGAACGATTAAAAGGTTAGAAGTAAAACTGAACAGCCATGGCCAAACCGAAAGATTGACACAAAACATCATGCTCATGATAGTGGAATATCTCAAAGGGTTACAGATGGCCAAGTACCGATCATAGGACATGATCGAGAGGAGGAAACATTCCGTAACAGTTGAAGCGCTGAAAAAATAAAATTGTGTGATGCAACCACAGTACGTAATTATTTCCTTCCCAAAAAGTAGACTTCCTAGTATGTTTGGAAGAATGTTGGTTGAAATCAAGAGATCTGAAAATGACAGATGACTTAGGAAATAATACATGGGTGTCTGAAGGGCTGGGGTGATGGATACTAATACAATGATCAGAAGATTTCCAGTGATAGTGAATACAAAGATGATTAAGAAGACTACAAAGAATAAAACATTGAATCCATGAAGGTTTCCAAATCCTAAAAGAACAAATTCTGATACTTTTGTATAGTTCTTTCCAGACATAATGTTGATTGAATCCATAAATCTGCAGCACAAAATTTTTTTTTATACTGGTCTGTGATGGTTTATAGTCATCCAGATCATGTAACTAGAAGTCCAACATCTTGAAAATATTTAATGTCTCGTTCAAGTGGCTTCTTTAGTTGATAACTGAAACACATCACTTGGGTGAGAAATTATATGTTTGGGGAATAATAGTCACGTTTTGGCTGATTTGCTAACACTGGATAATATTTTTAGCTTTATTTAATATTATAATTGGTGGGATACAGTGCATCCAGAAAGTATTCACAGCGCTTAACTTTTGCCACATTTTGTTATGTTACAGCCTTATTCAAAAAATGGATTAAATTCATTTTTTCCTCAACATTCTACAAACAATACCCCATAATGACGTGAAAGAAGTTAGTTTTGAAATCTTTGCAATTTATTAAAATAAAAAATGAAAAAAAAAACACACACATATATTATTCACAGCCTTTGCCATGACACTCAGAATTAAGCTCTGGTGCATCCTGTTCCCACTGATCATCCTTGAAATGTTTCCTCAACTTGATCAGAGTCCACCTGTGGGAAATTCAGCTGATTGGACATGATTAGGAATGGCATAAACCTGTCTATATAATGTCCCACAGTTAATAGTGCATGTCTGAGCACAAACCAAGCCATGAAGTCCAAGGAATTGATCATAGACCTCAGAGACAGGATTGTATCAAGGCACAGATGCCCTGGTGTTCCTGAGTGGCCACTGAGCTCCTTCCCTGCCTGCAGTCAGAGCTGGGACCAGGGAAAGCCTGAAGCAGGGAGAGGAAAGAGCCCAGAGAAGGTGAGCTGTGTTGTGTTCTCTGGGCTCTCCCTCCTGTTGTCCATCCAGTACATGAGGCACTGATAGATGGTATGGGACCAGGGATGGACTGACAACTCATGGGGCCCCCGGGCAATAGGGGATCATGGGGCCCCTGTGTCCTTGCCCAAACTCAAAAAAGCCTATGAAAAAGGTACCAGGGGCATCTCATGGGGTCCCCTACTGACCCCGGGCCCTCGGGCAGTGCCCGAGTTTCCAAATGGTCAGTCCGCCACCGTATGGGACTGCACACACAGTATGATTTCCACCCAAATTCTCCAGATCTCAACCCAATCAATCATCTGTGGGATGTGCCAGAGTAAACAAAACAGATCCATGGAGGCCCCACTTTGCAATTTACAGAATTTAGGGGATCTTCTACTGACAGCTTGGTATCAGATACCACAGCATACCTTCAGAGGTCTAGTCGTTTCCATGTCCCATTCTTGGCTGTATTGGTGTCAAACGGGTACCTACTCGATATTAGGTGGGTGGTCATAAAGTTACGCTGATTGGTGTAGATCCTCCCTGTAACGGAACCAACCCAGTATGCGCTTGGGTACTTCCGTTAGAATACCGCTTCCCCGTCCGAACACCAACAACAGACACCACAGCAGACCATACAAGACTAGACGACACCAGTCTTGAAGTAAACCAGGAGGTAGACTAGTTTATTTGCACACAGATACAAGAAATATACACTCAAGGGGACAATCCCCCCTCCCTGCATAATGACACAGAGCGCAATGTACATTTAGTAAAAAGAGACACACCAACAGACAGTCTCATCAGGAGGGAGAGCTGCTGGAGACACCCCCCACCAAGCCAATACACATAAACACATACATCCCATAATAGTTTGCTCCCAAGCCAGACACACAATAGAACAATGAGATGCAACCACATGGCATTAAACAATCAACAACCCCCCCACCCCAATATTAGGACAGCTCACCCCTAAGAGGCACAGGGTGATTTACACATAAGAGGAATATGGGAGCTGAGACAGGGGTCTCCCCACCTCTCCAAAGTGAGCTGGGTTCCATGGGCCCCCCACCCAAAGTGACTCCTGTCACACTCCCTTTTATAAATATACATAAAAAAAAAATTCCCCCCTCTCAGAGGTGGCAGCTGACACTTTGCATGGCTTTTAGCTTTCAATCCCAGCTGTCACTGACCAATAAAAAAATAGAAATTACAAAAAAAACAAAACAAAAACAGAACAGGGTGTGATGAACTAGGAGTGCATAGAGAGGTCATGGATGCTGGTTTAAAACCTTTGCGTTTTTACACCTGTTGCGCTGTCCATTGAAATCCATGGAAGTGAATTAAAATGTCAATGTGAGTTGATGGACATTAACAAGCATTATTGCATGGTTTCCAAGTACACTGCATGGCACTCTTTATTGAGAGGTGAGATGGGAGGGGGGCACCACAAGGAGACTGGGGGAGTATTTGTGTTGGGAGTTGGAATTTGGAAGGCGGTAAGAATTTTTCTAGGAGGGGAAATCTGGGGGTTGAGCTAGGAGTGGTAGAATGGTAGAGGGGGGAGGGAATTTGTGCTAGGAGGGGAATTTTGATGGGTAGGATTTGTGCTAGGAGGGGGAATTGGAGGGAGAATTCGTGCTGGGTGTGGGGAGAGGTATTGTACTAGGAGGGGTGATTTTTTTTTTGGGGGGGGGGGGTAATCTGTGGAGAAAGAGGATGGGGGACAAAGATCTGTGCTGGCAGGGGATATTTCAGGGAGACTGATTTGCACTGGGAGCAGGGGGATTTTATGCTTTGTGGGTAATCATGCAGATTACTGCGCAATTTTTTTTTCTTTGGGGGGGGGTTCGCTGACACATAAAGAAAGTTTATATATCTTGGGGGGCGCAGTTTGGTATGTTTGCCCTTGGCTCTAGATAACCTGGTCCTGGCAATGGGTGTAAGGCTGGATTGTACTCACTCAGTCCCCCTTGAAGGCTTCCCAAGATCCAGAATAGCTGCTGTCCTGGCCACTCTGCTGAATAGGCTGTGCTGGCTATACTTGGGGTCCACAGCAAAGCCTAACTGTGGCTAAGATTAGGCAGTTTCCTGAGGCTTTTTCTCCTTCTCTCTCTCTCCTGTGCCTCGTCCTTCTGCCCTGGGGGCAGAGCCCCCAGCATAGGGATCTCCTCCAGGCGACTGGACCCCAGGCACTGCTCCTAGCCTGCTAGGCTCCTCAATATCTATGGGTTATTTCCCCACCTTCTGGGCCCTCTGTTCCTCCATCCACTAGATTCTGGAACTATCCAGAGAGTTCCAGAAACCAGAGGGAGGTAACAGAGTCACAGCCTTTTTGAAGCCCTGCACAGCCTCCTAAACAAAATTAACCCCTGCTCCTCTGCCTACAGGGGAGCCAAACTAAATTTACCTACACTAGCAACAGTGAGGGTGCTACAGAGGTATCTGGTTTTATTTGTAGCACAGAATACCTTGAATCCTGTCCTCCCTGCTGAGAGAAGCCTCATCCACAGATCCCTTGTGTGAACACCAGAATTCATTACTGAGCCATGGAGATCAACTGCTGATTTTTAGTCCTTACTGGTGCTTGGGGCAGTACAGCATGACAATTGGGCTTATTTCTCTGCCCAGGAGCCACAGGCTCTGCATACAGCCACCCATAGAGATCAAAGGCTGTATGACTGTTATGGTGCCCTATGAGATGAGGCCCTGCCACTATGTACATTTGGTAGTGAAGGTGGAAATGATGCAGGGTTCTCATAGGTGCAATTTGAGAAGCTCTAGTATGTTTATTGTGAGCAGTAAAAACTGTGTTGTAAGCTTTCTCTGGGTTTGGTAGTTCTGGATCAGGCCTGGAGCGTGAAGGTTCCACAGAGTCTTGGATGGAATAGAACCTTCAATCCTATGTCTGGGCTTTACTAGACACCTGCAGTCTGTGTGAGTACACAGGTATGTGGGGTCATTTAAGCTAGGTCTGATGAAAGCTCAGGCCAGTTGTTACCATGCATGCAGGCAGAGCTTTGTCAGGAGGGTTGGGTGTTCCTGCTGGAGACTAGATCTCTTGTGAGCGGATTCCTTTCCCAAGGGCTGGGAAAGTTGGGGCAGTCTGAGAGACCAAGGGAGGATCTGGGACAGTGTTTCTCAACCTTTTTTCAGTCAAGGCACCCTTTAAAATTATGGACAGTCCCGAGGCACCCTTTAAAATTATGGACAGTCTTCAGGCACCCCAGTCTAAAATGGGGTGCCTCAAGACTGTCGATAATTTTAAAAGGGTACCCCATTCTAAATGTGAAAAACTATTCTAATAGCATTTTTTTATATAATGCAGCAACATCCACACATGTAGGACACCCAACATTAGAGGTGATTTATTCTTCCAAAGAAAATACACTTTTGCACACTGGTACCGAGTAGTATTCCCATGTTTCTCTTCTCCCTCAGTTTTTCTCCATCACTGAGCAAATGTTACCCCAGCACTGACTGAGAGGGGCAGGGGAAGGTCAAACTAGGATGGTGTGTAGGCAGCTGACATCCTCCTTATCAACTGATGATGTTATTGGTTGTCAGGATGCTAGTGGCTAGAAAGTTGTACAATGAAAACCTGTGGCTTTGTGTAACTAAAAGGCAGGCTTGTTCCACCTGCTGGCTTGTATACAAGTTTTGGGCAATTTTTAGACATTTTGCCAAGGCACCCCTGAAGAAACCTCAAGGCACCCCTAGGTGCCTGGGCACCCTGGTTGAGAAAAGGCTGGTCTGGTAGACAGAGGAAACTAGGGTGGTTGGTGAGTCCAGGCAGCTGGAGGGAACCTGGAAGTCTCTGGAGGAGTGAGCAACCTTGAGGTGGGCTGGAGAACCCTATTTGGAGGCCATGAGTGAGCTTGTGCAAGGACTTGCTGAAACCAAAGCTGAGAGAGCCTAAAGAGCCTGTGGTCTGGGAGACCAAAGAGAACGGTGGTGCTGCTGAAGTATTGCCAGGTGGGCTAACAGGTTTCGTGGTTTATATTTGCTAGGGAAGAACCCCTACGTGGGCATCCAGATTGTGAACTTTATTTTTCTTTTGAATAAAAGTGGGCTGTCATGTCCTTCAATACAGTTTTGACTGATGTGGACTCCTTTAAAAAAAAAAAACCATCACCTCTGAGCTAACCAACCCTCATATTGCACCACCAGAAGG